AGCAGCAAGAGAAGCTGAAACAGCTGAAGCAAAGCAGCCCTGCAGAGATGCAAAGGAGAGTTTTGGAGAACTGCTGGAGCCTCCAGGGGCCCTGTGGGGTTGTGGGGACTGCCCTGGCTCTGGACTCTGAAGCAGTCAGATGTTCTTGTCACCGGTGCCCTCTGCTGCTGCTCGACTGTGGTAATATTTTTTTAGAAACATTTCTTGTTCTTTGCCAGCACTGTTAATATTTAGCACCTGGTAAGCAGAGTGCTCTGGCATCTCACTGTGGGATTCCTAGGAGAGTATGTGAAAGCATGGAGGTAGGATTTTACCCTTTGATAGAGTTTTACTTCTGAGAGCACTAAGGTCCCACTTCTTTACATCTCAGCAATTTGTGCAGTTGTCCCTAGTAATCCCTGCTGGTCTGCTTTCCTTTGGAATCAGCACTGAGCTCACATTCAGATTTTACAGGAACTTATGTTTTCCCCTGGACATGTCTGACATTCCCCTGGTACAGTCATTTTTCTAGTGTTATTCACACAGTCATGGCTTTACATGACTGACAGCTATTGACTGTGTCCCTCACTCAGTGATTATCAGTATAAAAGCACTCAGTCATTTTGTGTAGACTCCATTCCCATGCCTTGGGTGGGTATAGCATTTTTTCTTATCAATAGTCGACAGGTTCCATTATCTGAGATCATAAAATATGTTGATGACATTTGCTGAAGTTGTCCCAGCACTTCATCCAGCTACAACCACACAGAAAATGCTCTTCCTTTCTCAGGCACAGCAGAAACACCAGAGCAGCAGTTTCTGGAGCCAGGTGGAACAAGGAGAGCCCTTGCAAAAAGATTGGTCAGAGCAAAGTAGGGAAAAGTCAATGATCTTATCTCTGAAAGGAGAGATAGAAACCTCAGGAAAGGAATATTCTTTGTCTAGCTCCACAGCAGAATGATTTTCAGCTTGTTATCAATGGGCTTTCTCTATACTTATTTGACTTTCATAATCATATCAGAACTGGATCATGGTTTTTCCTTTCCCAGGAGCCTGCCAGGCCAAGGTTGAAAGTCAGTTATCATATTGTAGAGAGGTCTTTTTTAAGATGATGGAGGCATTACTGGATAATTCTGCTCTTATTCATTCCCATGTTAATCCAAAGTGTTTCTTCTGAATTTAATTTTTGCATCTCTGCATCAGTGTGTTGGAGTAAAGAGTCCATTCTCATACTGAGACTTTTTTATATTTATTACCTGGTGTCTGCATTTGTCATTTCTTGAGCTGGGGTCCCAGACAAGAAGGTACAAGAGGATCCTTCTAGGTGGACAGAGGAATGAGACTTAACTGTGGAGCCTTCCTGCTAAGTCCATCCTTGAGAAGGGAAATCACCGTGTAGCTGTGACTCTTTGCATGAAGTGTTCCGTGGTAGTGGCTGCTGTGTGTGCATTCCAAGGAGCTGAGCAGCAGTGGAGAGAGGAGGAACCCTTCAGCCACATTTACCATATGGTTTTAGAGTTACACCCTGATCTTCCACAAGCTTCTGGCAGTGTTTTAGACCCTGCAATCCCCCTCAAGTCCAGCTGCTGGAAAGAAGTGATCTTTATTCCTCCCAGCAAGACATGTGGGAAGAGATGGTTTATGAATTTGGGGCATAAATAGGAGCCCAGCTTCTTTCAAGGAGACTGAATGGTATAGTAATGCTGCCATTAACTGTCTTTAATAAAACAAAGATGGAAAACCCCCCAAGCTGTTGGACCTCTGCAAATCCCTGATTCATTGCCTATGAGAATTCCAGCATGGCCAGTACCAGTCAGGAGAGGCCACTGGGATCTCAAAACACTTGTGGGACTGAGCAGCAACACGATATCCTCTCTCCTGCATCCTGCTATTCTGATCAGAAGTTTTTAACAAAGCAGCCAAGCAGCAGAAAATGTTCATTTCTCAAAATAAGATAGTACCAGTTAACAAGTATAGACCCAATCATGGTTTGGCTTGGCTTGACTTGGCTTGGCTTGGCTTGGCTTGGTTTGGTTTGGTTTGGTTTTCTTTGCTTTGCTTTGAGATTATGCAGGTATTGTTTGTTTTATTTTGGGTTGGGTTGGTGGTTGTATTTTTCAGGATTGGGGTTTTTTGCCATAGGGCATCTACCAGCTTTTCAATGGTCTGTTACTAATGACACTATTTCTCGTCTGGCCAGGAGAACACATCAGTGATGGGCAGGAGCCCAGCCACTACCTCTGCAGCATGCAAACAACCTTTGCAGCCATAGTGCAAGGATTTTGGTTTTGTCACTTTTAAATAGCACTTTTAATGTTAATATATCAGTACATTACCTTTGGGAATAAAATAGGCTATTTTCTCTGCTGAAACATAATTGTGGTAACAAACAGTTGAGTTGGGTTTTGGAGGATTTGAGAGAGGGAGTGTGTGTGGGTGTGGGTGTGTGTGTCACTGTCTTCTGCTTTGGGGATTTTTTTTTTTCAGAATTTCTCAGTGGATTTGGAGGAAAACTGGGCAAAAACCCCAGTATTTACTCCTGATGAAGAGATAAAATTCTGTTCCCCCACTTCATCAACTCTGTCATTAGTAACATCCTTAATCGTACGGCAACACACAGCAGGAAACGCTTGTGGAAGTGTAAGAAGAGCCAGGCACCAAGCCTGGGCCAGACCAAGGTTCCCTCTGTGCCAAAGGCTGTCTGGCAGTGGCTGGGAATGTGGCATGAGACATGAGTGTGTGTGGCACATGCTTCTGGCAGCTTGCAACAGACTCTGTATTGACAGTGAAAGAGTCAAATGTGGCGTTTGGGAGAGAGGACAAGGTTTCCTCATCCCTCCAGGCACTGTCCTAGATGGGGACAAGGAGAAGACTGAGTGAGGGGCTGTAGCAAGAATTTCAGCTGTGTAACTCGTGATGGGATTAATTGGCTCGTTCATGAGAGTAAGGGTGTAATTCTTAGGTTGCACGGGAGATGGAGTTATTTTGCATTAGATGGCAGCACTGAGAATCGGCCTAAGGAGAAATTGTTGTCTGACATGCTCCTTGCAGGAGCAGCCTGTAACATGGAAAAGAAGTCTGGATCTCAGGTGTTAAAACACCTGTGCAGACATCCATCACCTTGGGGCACAACATGATCAATCTCTTGGTACAATCACTCTGTCAAGGAGTATATGGCTTTCAGCACAAGCTCTAAATGAGCATCAGCCAGGTTTGTCCAAATTTCTGTAGCCGATCTGCAGGCTGTGCATATCCCAGTGCTGCTGGCTCAGGTGTGTCAGATGTGGTCCATATGCCTCCCTCCACTGCTGCAATCACATTGCACTTGGCCATTTGTTGTACAGCACATTGCCATCACTCAGAGAAATAACGTTCCTGGCCAGAGGCATGGAAAGAAAGAGGATCCACAGAGCACCTGAGGAAGCAGCACATCTGCAGCACCTCACCTTCTCCAGCACAAAACTTGCTTAGCAGCCATCTGGAGAAATCACTTTGTTTATCCATGACAGTGTGAACTCCTCCCTGGACTTGGGATAAGCCAGCCAGCAGTAGAAAAGTAGCAGAGAAATGTCCCATTTGACTGTGGAGCCTGTTATTTAATTTTTTGAGCTACAAGAGAAGGCCCATATTTTTTTTCCTTGGAGGGTTGAGAGAAAAAAGGAGAGAGGTGAGAGAAACAGCACATAAAGAAAGGAATTAATATTACCTTTTTGACCCCCCCCCCCCAAATTTACTTAACCCAGCCCACAGACATAAGGAACTTATCATATTATCACACCACAGAGTGAGACTATATAAACATGATCCAAGTAGGTTCAAATTTCCTTTTATATCAATAAAAAATTAAATTAAAAGACAATGGCTGAAGCAAGTAGTTTAGAATTCTTTTTAAATTGGTATACCATGGCTATACATTATCCAGCTAGCTGTATTTATTTTTATAAATATATGCTTTGTGCCATTTAAATTTGTTTGTTACTTTCAATTGCTCTGTGTATTAGCCAGGATATATTTCCCTTAGGGACAGAAGGGAAAGCACCTCAGAAGTGCTCCTTGATCTTTGTACATCCCTTTCTTTCCAGTAGCACAGTGTGTCTTTCCATGCCAGGGCACTCACCAGTATCTCTCCCTCCTGCTGGCTTTCTGGACTCATATTTTGCTTAGAGTCTTCTTTTTTCTTGGCCTCCAAGTACAGAGTCTTTGAATGTGAGACATTCAAAGTTCAGGACATACTTTCAGAGGATGGACTGATGATTTTCTGCCTAGGCAGGCCTTTTACATCACGTTATCTACCCCAGGTAGGTAGTTACACCTGGATCAAGTAATAAATAATAATCCACCCTTAATAGCTCTTAGTCTAGTGAGTTAATATACCTTACATGAAAGGTGCAGTGAAAAAGGTAAGGGAACACTGAAAGAGGTCATGGAAGTTAATTTTCAGTGAAACCTAGTTAAAAAGTCTGATGTTGGAACCTTTCAGGAAATACCTGGATTAACTGAGTTTATTAAGAAACATTTAACCAACTTATTTGCACTGATAAATCAAATATCCTTCTTGCCAAGTCCTTATGAAATACAAGATAAGCTGTGCAATGTTTGTTTTGTTTCTAGCAGCTGTGTCATCTGAGCTGTTCAATACTAAGAGAATGTTTTGTACAGTACTACTCTGCATCTTTTGCCATAGCCCTACTGGGAGATTTACTTCAATTAATAATTTTATCTGAAAGAAGGAAGAGGTAACTACCCAGATATTTTATTTTCTTTTTTTCTGACATTTTTTCATTGAAATATCATATACTTCACAGCTCTTAAGTGGGAAAATAAATCATAGTTAATATGCTCCTCCTTCACTATTCCAAAAAAGTGAAAAAGGATAGGGGACATCTTTCATGTATATGAGAGAGAATGCATTAGGCATCACCATTTCCAGAGGAGGTGATATGTGTAGGAGAAGGTGATGGTTGGGAGGGGGGAGCAGCAGCTTTCACACTTGAGGGAGACAGGGATGACACATGAAGCAGGAGAGTGTTAACATGGGCCCTTTGTTGGGGTCACTTCTTGGGGTTGTGTTTTTTTCATTTCCCCTTTTATCTTCTCAGGCCACTCTGTGCTTCTGTCTCTGGCAGGACTGAAAGGTATGATGAAGGTACGCATTTTATTACTTGGTGTCAGCATCAGTTACTGCTTTTTTTGTGTTTTAAATGCCTGCTATATCATCTGTTTCCCTTATGACTGTAGTTATTTGATATCATTAAATGTTAACAAAGGTTTTGTTACTTGACAATTACTGAATTCTTTTTGATTTTTAAATTATTTTGTGAGTTTTTCTGTTATCATTTTTCTTTATGATATGCACTGTTTTCAGATCGTACAGACTATCAGCAAATTATATGCTTGCATGATTTTTTGTGACGATGATAAGTAATTTTCTAAAGTTGCAGAATGCCTCTAGTGAAGGCCCCAGCTTGAGTTTGAGCAGTTCTGTGCTCAAACCTTGTTTGTCCTGCAGATTCCCTGGTCAGCCTTTGGAAAGGCACGGTGGGCACTCTGCCCCGTGATGACGGTGTTACAGCTGGGGACAGCTGATAATGCTGCCCCTTTGTCTCCCAGAGCACGGACCTTTTGGGTGACCTGCTGTACACCACAGTGGTTCTGCAGCTGTGCAGGAGGAGCTCAGCTGCTCATGCAGGTAGCCGAGAGCAGCACTCTCAGGAAATCTGCTAAGCTCAGACACCCTCTTTGAAACTGGCAGCCTTCACTTCTGTACCTCTTTTTACCATGTATAGCACCTGACTGACTTTTCCCATTACCTGACTTTTTTTTTCCTGACTTGGGGAAGTGCCTGTTCTTTATGCTGACCATAGTCTAGAACTAAGCACCTTACTGAGAGATGATGGGGTATAGCAGCAACATAGTGACTTACTGTTGGTGGAGTCACACTACAGGTCAAGTGGAAAAGCTGTTATTTCAGCTTCATTTCCTTGCCCTTCAGATTACTAAAAAGCAGTTTGCCATGTATTGTGAATTACTTCATTGCTATGAACTTCATTGACTTCACTGCAATGAACTTCATTGATTTAATCGTTTTTCAGCTGACTTATGTTTTGGGTCTAGTGAGTTCAAACATAAATATTTAACCAAGTCTTGATGTAGCTGGTCAAATGTAATTTCTGTAATCTGAAAACAAATGATGTTGTCTGTATCTTATCTGTAGTACAATCTGTAGCATTTTACAAATATGCATGTTACACAAATTGTTGAATACTGAAGATGCCAGTGAACCTTAATGCTTGCTGACCATGGCAGATTCTTTGTCAAATTCCTACCAGAAATAAGACAGAGGTTGATACTGTATTTTCAACACGGCACTGAGGAAAGTCCTGTCTGAAAGCAGTAAAAGTTTAGTAGCTAAGATGTTGCTATTCTCACAGAACAGACAAGATGATTTCCACAGGCTACTCTGCCATCTTGCTGTCCTGATTTTGGATGGGTAGAGTTAATTTTCTCTATAGTAGCTGGTATGGGCCATGTTTTGGATTTGTGCTGGAAACAGTGTTAATGATTCAGGTGTGTTTTAGTGATTTTCGAGCAGTGCTTGCACAGCCTCAAGGTCTTTTCTAATTCTCCTACCACCCAGCCAGCAAATAGGTTGGGGTAGCACAAGAAGTTGTGAGGAGACACAGCTGGGACAGCTGATCCCAACTGTTCAAAGGGATATTTCATACATATGGCAACACGCTCAATGCATGAAGAGAGAGAGAAATAGGCTGGGGGCCACTGCTCAGCAGTGACTGGGTATCGGTTTGTTGGTAGTGAGTAATTGTTTTTAGTTTCCATTACTCGTCTTTCTTGAGTTCCATTTTTATAATTTCCTCTTCTTCCTCTTCTTCTCCATCATCATCATCATCATCATCATCATCATCATCATTTATTTAAATTATTAACATGTTCTTAAGTCAACCCATGTTTTCTCACTTTTCTCACTTGTAGTGTTCCAGTTCTCTTCCCCTCTATCCTGCTGGAGAGAGTGAGTAAGCAGCTCTGTGGTGCTCAGTTGTCAGCTGGGGTTAAACCATCTCAATGAAAATGTTTAGTGAAATGTCACATTTTAATGTAAGGACATAGGAACCCAATGATGGGTGTGCTGGACCATGACAATAGTCAAGGCAGCCCAGAATTCTGTCCAACTCCAACACTAGCTTAAAAATTAGTTCCTAAGGAACAGAACAAAATCGAACATGAGTACCACAGAGGAATATTCTTTCAGACTGCTTCAGTCTTCAGTGATTCCTGAGCTATCAGTGGTATCTTTTGTTTGAGTACCCTCCATGGATTTTGCTCCCATGAATTGGCCTCGTTCCTTTTTGGACATATACATCTTGAAAAATTGTGTTCCACAACCCAAGGGCATGGTGTGTGAAAATCCACCTCCTTTGGCCTATTTGAAAATATAGAAAGGAACAAATATCCAAATTTGTTTCATTTATTTGTGCCTGGATGCCAGGGAATAGACACTGGCTAATAGTCTGTACCCATCTTTTCATTGTGCAAACTCTAGATTTCTCTCTAACAGGATGAGGGAGCAACCTGGAAAAACAAAAATGATAAAATTTCCTGGTCAAGATAAAGACAGTTAAACAAAGAGATGGAAAAAAATAAACAAGTGATGCAAAGACTCACCACCAAAAGGCTCGTGATCACACAGTCTCTGAAAAATGGCTGCATTGGAGAGACAATTTCCCAGTTTTTGTTGCTGAGCATGATGTTAGACACGGATTATCTCTGAGGTCAGTTTGGGTTGGTTGTCCAAGCAGTGTTCACTCCCAATCCCTTGCTATCCCCCAGCCGGCTACTTGGGCTCGGGACAGAGGAAGCAACCAAGAAAACCTCAGTGCTGTGCAAGCATTGTTCAGCAGTAGCTAAAACACTGGTGTGTCCTCTCCACTGTCACAAATCTGGATCATGGCACCACACCGGCAGCTGTGAGGGAGCCAGATCCAGTATGCCTGAGCAGGCTGTGAATACACTTGAAGGGGCTGTTCTGGGGAGAAAAAGGTGTCTGTTTTCTCACAGACGTAATCTGGAAGACAACAGAAGCAAGTTGATTAAGTGCAGGTCCCAGATTAAAGGCTCCGTGTAAACACAGGATGGGATCCTAGGAGCTGGCCCATTCATGCCACTTAGGTACACCCAGCAAAGCAACAGCTTCCAGAAGGCATTCTAAGGAAGGCCTGGAATTTGAGATACTGGTTCATACAGCAGCATCCCACCCTGTCAATTTGAGCTTGAATTCACAGGTGGAGCCAGAGAATGGTGCCAATTTGTAACATGACCAGAGGCCCCGGCATCTGTTTTCCTACCATACTGGGAAGAAAGCTTGGAAGAAAACAGAGTCTCTTAGGAGCTTCCTGTGAACGTGAACTACATCAGGATGGGTCTTTCAGACCCAGATAAACCTTTCATACTCAAATAGCCTTTCACACTCAAATAAGCCCTGTCTTTCTGTCATCAGAGGTGACCCAAGACCTTTGGCAGTTAAATCTCTTCCTAGTTAAACTCATGGATCCCTCCAAGCAGCTCTGGCTTTATTCCCAACACCATTTTGAAACTCTTTGGGGATTATGTGAGTAATTAGATATATAATAAAAAAGCCATGTCTGGATGTGGGATGATGCTGCAAGCAAAGCTCTGCTTTTCCCATGCATTAGGCTTCACAGCAGTTGTTCACCCTCAGGGCTGCCAATAGAGGAATGTAAGGCACTTTGTCTACAAAAGCAAAGGAAAAGAAAAAGAAAACAACTAGAGGTTTTCCTTTTTATGACAATAAAACTGACTGTTTTCAGCAATATAATTATTCCTCAAAAGCCTAGAAGGTTCCTTTCAATTTCACTCATCTGCCCACTTCGGGTTTTAAATACCTTGGTGTGCCATATACAGAATAATGCCCATTGTACCAGAATTTACAGAATTTATTGCTGATAAAAAAAAAAAAAATAAAACATTAGGACCAGGAGAAATGAGCAGGGAATTAGAGTCATCTGCCTCAAAACAGATCCTTAGCAGACAGACATGTAAATCTGTATGTCTCCAGAGCCTTTCTTTGTAGTCAGGGAAAGCAAACTTCTTCAGTGGCTGACTCATTTCACAAAAATAAGCTCATAAGCAAAGTGAGATTACCTGTTTTCTGGAAGTATCAGTATTTCCCCACTAACAGGTGAGACTGTCAGCTCATTTGTACACCCATCTTTTTAATATCTGAATTTAAGCTGGATGTGTTTCTTTCCTCACTGTTGTAGAATCTGCTAGTACTCAGCTAACTGGGCTAAAGATAAAATCTACCCATCCTTAAAACCCATTTTGACAACTCAGTAGAGAACGAAGTGTGGTGTCTACAGTATGTCTGGCTATTTTTGTGCACATGAACACTCAAAAACTGATTGAACAAATGTGGACTCAACTCTAAGCCAACGAGTTCATGTAGGAAGACAAATTGCTTTCCATCACCATTATCAGGGAGACAAATAAGAGATTAAGATACATATATATTCTTGTCAGATACATATATATTCTTATGTATAGGACATGTAGTCTTATGTATGGGATATATAAGATTATATGCATTTTAACACATCCTTACAGCATCACAGCATCTAAGGGGTCAGTAACATTTTGGCTATGTGTCAAATGATGGAATGGAATGGGATGGGAAGAGTCTTGGCAGGTGGCAGAGCCTTTTTCTCTGACTGAAATGCTCCCTGACATGGTTGTTTGGGTGGGATACCCCTAATCTGACATTAGTTGTCTGAAAATCTGGATGAGCTCCCTCTCTCGAGTATAAAGAGAAGCAGGCACTGCCAGAGGACACTGACACCAATTTAATGCTCATCCATTGTCAGTAGGTGCTTTACAGAGACCGAGGCGTTTGAAGCAAGGAGCGGGAGAGTGGTCAGAGTGTGACCAGAGCCTATGGGGTGATAGGCAAAGGCTCTTCTGTGGGGCAAGACCTACCCAGGGAGCATCCTCTGCTAGGGGTCTGGGGCTGTAACACATAAAGCTTCTCTAAAACAGAGGGGATGTTGGGAGGGGGAGGAGGGAGAATAAAAAAGAGAAAGCTGTTTCAAACAGAACTGTCCAGAGAGATTTTGCTACAGAGAACTCATACTGAGCTTAGCTGAACTGATAGAGCATGGTGCTAATAATGTCAAGGTTGTTTGATCCCTGTAGGGGCCGTTCACTTTAGAGTTGACTAGATGATCCTTGTTGGTCCCTTCCAACTCAGAATATTCTGTAAGTGTTCCACACACTTCATTTTTCTTGCCAGCATTATCCACTGCATTTTCTTTGAGCACTGGCTTCATAGATCAGAGATAAACAGAGATAACCAATCTTCTTCTGCAGATTCTCATTCAGGATTACTTTAAGAGTAATGTCATGTCTCTTTCTTATTACACAGAGACTTCCTAAGGTAATGAAAGCTATGAAAGCTATTTCTTTTTTTATTCAACTAATACTTCCATTCCCCTTCTTAACCTAAAATTTTTACTGTCTTTTGTTGTGCACACGTTATCATCCCTTGTTTACATGTTTCCTTACCAGGGCTTTGCTAGGTCTTAATTACCATGCTTTAGGACTATTACATAACTCACGAAGTCAGCTTTAGTGACATTCATTCTTATCATTAGCAGATTAATAAGTAAACTCATATCTCAACAGGAATGTCAAGGCACTATTTGCTAATTTCAACCATGTGCTTTGGCACCACAGCATATAAATAAACATAGATTTACAGGTCCAGCACCAGGCTTTTTTGACACTTTACTTCTCTTCCTTAGCCCACCATGGAGGCCCTGGGAGTGACCACTATTTTCTTGCTGGTATGCATCTCATGCCTTCTCTTTGTCACATGGAGAAGCAGATCTCAAAAAGGGAAGGAGCCTCCTGGTCCCACTGCATTCCCCATTGTTGGAAACCTGCTCCAGATAAACCCATGGAATTTGCCTGAAAGCTTGAAAGAGGTAAGGGACTGTCTTATTCTTTCCTATGTTTTCTTCATGGTGTATAAAACAAAGTTCAGTCCCGCTGTTCTCAGCTAAATTCACAAGCTTAATTTGCATTGACCAAATGTTAAACAGAAACAAAAGGTTTCCCAGATATACATGCTTATTAAGTCTATATATAATCACTTGTATATATATATATGCATATATATACATATATATGTATATATATATATACACACACACATATATGTGCGTATATATATACACATATATACATATATATATATAATCAATTGTATATCGAAGTCTATATATTACAGGTGTGTATATATAAATATGTACGTCCTATATATAAATATATATGTTCCTATATTATAAGTCAGTCTATATATTGGCAATTACCATAGTGAAATGAGTTATGTGCTGACCTCACAATTTGTACCACCGTACTACACTTTGCAGTGGATTTGCAATCAAGGCATTGGTGCTGTCATGGTATCATCTTCCTGTGCTCAATTCCTCACCATGTTGGCAACAGCCTGGCCCTTTTTGTGGGGAGAGCCCTGCTCCATTTTGCTGCCTCTGCTCCCTGGCAGATATGTAGGATCTCCTGGGAGTAGAAGTAGCAAGTGCAGAAATTGAAGTAAAAACGTTTGGAGGTGAATTGTGCTGTCTATTCCCTCCCCTGACTGATGTCACCCATCTGGCAAAAATACCCCTTTGAGAGACAGTTTTGCTCTTTGTGGTCAAAAACCCTTTAGGCATTTGCTTCCATATTGTGTATATAACTGATTTCAGAGCTCATGTAAATTGTTAATCCACTATGCCCTGCACAAAGGTATTCTAAAATGTTTTGCCAGCCCTGTGAAGGGCTATTTTCTTTTCTCAGATTTGGACTGGACACTCACCATTTCCATTCATATTTCCTATTTCTTGTATGATTCCCTCTTCCCTCATCTGTAACTCATAATTGAAAGATCTCTGCTCTGCTGTTAATCAATGTCAAGTCTCAAAAGTGTTGGGACAATGACACATCACCTCTCAGACCTCTTTGCTACAAACATCACATGGTTGTCTTTGTTGTAGTCATGTTGCTCTTTCCTACAGCTCAGTGAGAAGTATGGTCCTGTCTTCACGGTACATTTGGGCCCACAAAAGGTTGTGGTGCTGTATGGCTATGATGTTGTAAAAGAAGCTCTGGTTGATCAAGGAGATGACTTCAGTGGAAGAGGCACTCTACCACTGCTTAAAAAACTCTTCCAGGGCACAGGTACATTCTTGGTAATGGCAGCATGCAAAACAGATGCTTTCAGTGCTTCAGAAACACAGCTGAGAGGACAGTGCAGAGGGGCATGGTAGATTTTATTTTCTACTTTTATGCAGACAAATTAGGAATTAAAGGCAAAAAACCCAGCTCATTACTTGGACCCTTGAGTAAACTGGTCCCCTGGAGAAGTGTTTAAAGTCCCAGGATGGCTTCACTGAGTGCCTTTTTATTTCCAGTGTGCTTGAAGCTCTGGCTAAAATTTTGTACATGAAATGTGCCTCTAAGTTCTTACATTCATTCCCCCATTTCTGAAAATATTCCAAATATAGACACACTAAGGAACCAGCAAAAGGAAAGTCCACAGCACAACAAGAAAATATAGGCTGACCCAGTAAGGGCCACAGTCCAGATTAGGTCATGAGATTATTCAGTCAGTCCCTGGAATGGCATTTACAGTACATATTCCATGGTATTATATATATGTAGTGCAGTACCATTGATATTGTCAATAATTATATGCTCTATTGCAGGTGCACAGCAGAACATTTGAGTGGTTATGTCAGTGTGAAGGCCTTGTGTCCAACAAGACAAATTCAGTGTTACTTCTTATTTACTTTGTAACGTAGTTTTTCTTATCCTGGGAATAAAATCCGTTTTATCCAAGGCTTGTGACAGATGGATCAAATTTGTCACCTTCAGAATTGCAGAGAAGTTATGGTTTGGGGCAGATAGCAATTGCAGTGTAATTCCACAAAGAGGCGTCTTTGCATGCTGAGTACTTACTGTGTAGTTCCCACTAAAGGGGAAAAAAACCTGTTTCATCATGAAGGTCTATTTTTCCTCCCTGTGTCAGGCATTGTGACCAGCAACGGGGAGATGTGGAAGCAGCTGAGACGATTTGCACTCACCACCCTGCGGGATTTTGGGATGGGGAAGAAGGGCATTGAGGAGCGAATCCAGGAGGAAGCTCATTTTCTGGTGGAGAGGCTCAAGAACACACATGGTATGCTAAGGACTTTGTGCCTGTTGAGACACTGTGCATATCTGCAATTGGACAATGAGGAGTGTAGGGCTGCTTCACAAAATCTATGACCCAAGGAGTGGGTGTATGGCTGCTGTTTCTGCTCCCTGCTTCTGTAGGCAAAGTTATCAGTGGCTCAATCCAAGGCACTGTAACAGTATGGAGGATAAAAGTAGGAGACAGAGGCTTGGAGAGTACCTTTTAACCTATTCTGCTTGAGGAACAAGACAGGAAGTGGCAAAAGGAATGGCTTTGCCACAGAGCCAAGGGTTGATGGAATTCAGCCGTGGAGACAGTGCTGGATGCTGTCAGGTAACCAAGTATGCTCTTCTTCACCTTGTCTCCTGCAACTCTGTGTAAACAGATCTTGAAGAAGTAGGTGACCAAAGAACTCATTTGCAGATATTTGGGGTTGGGTCCATCTGAACACTAGACAATAGATCCCAGTATTGATGGGGCTGTCCAATGGGAACAGGTATATAACCTGCTTCTGAGGGCAGGGTACAATGTTACCCACTTGATTTCAACATGTAAATGTGTTTTCTAGTAATATATAAGTCAGTGTTACTTCTAAATGTGTCCCCTGAGGATGGCACAGTACCGGCCACCCTTTTCATTGCCAGTCCTCAATGTGTGCCTATTCTGCAAGGGCGGGAAAGCACATCGATCTATAAGAATGATTAAGCATCACTGTTTTCCATGGGCCAGAAAATTCAATCTGGCTTCTCAGATAAACAATCGTTTTACAAATCAGAGAAAACACTCCCACCTGCATTGCTTTTATCTTTTGACTATCACAGTAATATTATATTTCTTATGCCCTTATGCAAGCCTCTAACTCTGGCTCACCTTGTTGCAGCATCTTTTACTATGTATTAAAAAGTTTGACAAGCAAGATATATACAACCAAAAAGCATAAGACCATTATTTACCCTTAATGCAATTAATAAATAGATATGACTAGTGTCTTCTACATTCAGCATTAATATACTCACCACCTCTGAAATATCCACTAAGTCTTCTTCAATGGCCATGGAACCACCAAGTCAGGCAGAGAACTGGTGCTATTCTTCTTGGAATAGTCTGCTACCAAGTTGACATTTTCTCACTCTGTGGTTTTCTTTCAGGATTTTATATTTTTCACGTTTGTTCCTCATCTTGAAACCTTGAGACACAGCCTATCACTATCTGTAATTAGCTTTCCTTTCATCTTGGGTCTAATCTTGCTTTTTGCTTGCACCATAATTCTCTGCACGGGAGTCATGCAGTTGTGCTATCAAAACTAGACTTTGATCACAGGCATTTGAACCCCAAGGAGGGGGTTACACTAATAAAGTTGATAAGGAGAGTGCAATAACCTAAATACATGGTTCAGGCAAAGTCCCCATGGTTTCATTGGGATTTTGTGGGAAAATGTGGGATTGGGATTTTGTGGGAATGTTTAGGTTGTTTCTAATAAACAGTCTATAAGACTGATAGGCATGTGGAAGTTGAAGAGCAACTAAGGCACTCAGACCAGTGTTCTGCTGAGAACAAGACAGAAGAGATACTTAAACCACTATAAGAATGAAATGAGTTCACTTCAAGAATAAGTTGGTAGGCCCTTCACCATCCTTTCAAAGGAGTGCAAAATTCTGGATCTCCAGAGAATGTGAAACTTCCTTCTGGATCTCCAGAGAATGTGAAACTTCCTTGTAGTGTCAGAGGAGGGGTTGATCCATGAAATACTGAAAGCAAGATACCTTTTTTTGGTGGTTGTTGCAGAGCAACCCCTGAACCCTAGCAGTTTCCTAATCCACGCTGTTTCCAACATCATCTGCTCCATCGTCTTTGGGGATCGGTTTGACTATGAGGACAAGAATTTTCTAACTTTAATTGACTGGATAGAGGAAAACAACAAGCTCCAGGCCTCTACACAAACACAGGTGTGTCTGATTTTATTTCATACATTTGTTAGTTATTATAATATTCAAATCCCTGAACATAGTGAAACCATAAAGGAAATGGCCATAAAATCCTGAGTAAGAAGGACCTACTGTTCCAAAACAGTTTAACTGCCCCATTTTCATAGGTACAATCAGGGGAACATTTTAGTTTATTCACAATAATCAGAATGTGCTTTTTCATCCCTTTATTTTTACAGCTATATAATTTCTTCCCAACTGTCATGGATTATCTACCTGGACCTCATCAACAACTGATAAAAAATATTGAAAAAGTTGATAAATTTACAACAGATATCGTAATGGAACACCAGAAAACCCTGGATCCCACTTGTCCTCGAGATTTTATTGATGCTTTTCTTAATAAAATGGAACAGGTACTGTAAGAGTAGAGATTTATTGGATTATATGGAAACCACTACTTGAATGAGATTTTTTTCTTTTATTTGTGATGGGGCATTGGGTTTTTGCAAATACAGAGGGGAACTTGCTCTTCATGACACATTGACTTCATTTTATCCTCTCCATTTTCTTATCAAGGATTTTAATACACAGAATTAACAGCATGAGCCAAAGCGATGAAAGCTGTAGACCAATCTGGTTAATATAATTCAATGCTCCTTCCATATCATAATATTATCTAGTAAACCTACCATAAATGTTGGTGTTCTGGAGAGTGAGTGTTGTATTTTTGAAAGAACATTAGATGTGTTCATAAACCTAAATTATGGGTACAGGATTTTTCTTTTTAAGCAAACTCCTTGGGTTTGTCATTCAAAACCTTCTCCCAAATCTTCCTGCAGGAGAAAGGGAATGATCACTCAGTATTCACCGTTGAGACCTTGAGCAGAACCACACTCGACTTGTTCCTTGCAGGAACAGGGACCACAAGCATCACAATGAGATTTGCAATTCTGATTCTCCATAAATACCCAGAGCTAGTAGGTAATGGAAATAAACAGTTTAAAACTTTTTAATAGGTTGTGGGATCAATTTGGACAATTCCTATCACTACCACATGAGGCAATAGTCCCCTGACTAAGGATTATGTTTTTGCAGTGTGGAAATGTGTGTAAGTCTTAATTGTCTTCACAAGAAGCAGATGTTAGTACTAAGTATAATCATATATTCCTGGCATGCTAAAAGCATATTTTGTTGTAAATATGGAGAGAGGTTCAGGTAAACAGATGGGGGACTTGTTCATTCAACATTTACTCATTTCTCAACAGAGAAGATGCAAAAGGAGATTGATTCCGTGATCGGCCGAGACCGAAGCCCTCGCATGTCAGATCGGAGCCAGATGCCCTTTACAGATGCTGTGATCCATGAAATCCAGAGATACATTGACTTCCTTCCCATTAATGTCCCACATGCTGTAATCAGAGACACCAAGTTCAGAGACTATTTTATCCCCAAGGTCTGTAACACTGTGTCCGAGAAAGGTCATAATCTCTTGAAAACCATGATGAGTTTAGTTCTTTGTATTTTATTTATTTTCAAAAGCATTCAAATGTGATACTAAAATGATTTTTTTTTTTGGAAGGGGATTCTGGAAGTTATTGTGTCCAATCCCTTGTACTAGAAAAAAAAATAAGAAAATACTTTTGCATCCTCTGTATGAAGAGGGAGATATTTCTGTTTTTTTTTTTTTTCACATCAGTGTTAAGTTGTAATTTATTTGAAAGCAATATTAAATATTCTAAACAGACTATTAAAATTCACTAAAAAACGTCTTTGCCATACCAATGGCACATATTTCATGCATTAAATGTTCATTTAAAACTAGTTAAACTTTGACTACCCTTCTGTTTAGCTCTGAGAACGTCTTAGTGCCTCCTTGATTTAACATATCTCCATTATACCTTTCTTTTTTGTTAATTCAGGACACTCTGATATTCCCTGTGCTGAGTTCTGTCCTACATGATAGCAAGGAATTTCCAAATCCAGAAAAATTTGACCCAGGACATTTCTTGAATGCAAATGGTACCTTTAAAAAGAGTGACTACTTCATGCCATTTTCTACAGGTAAGACCTCTTGCTATTTCCGATCCTAAACCATCCTCTCCTGAAATCTCTCTGAAGATTTCATGGCCCCATCACCATTGTCTGTACAACGATGTCAGGTGACATCTTCTAGAGTCACTTCTGGGAAGCTCTAACCCCTGCACTACAGTTCCAGCTGACTTCCTTTTTTAGCAAACACAAGAACTCCTCCAATGCCTTCTACAAGATGTGTATGAAGTGGGACTCAGTCATACAACTTGTCTCTCAAACCATCAAAGAGCAGCAGAACTTGAGCAACCAGAGCCTTCAAACTGCCTTCACACACTTAGCACTCTTGTTGTTCTAGACCTTTAGTTCCTAGTTTCATTCATGCTTCCCCAAAATACTGTAGTGCTGCCTCTGCATTCTGAGATGTCTGAATTTTCATGGAACTGTGGCTAAAATCAGTTATCAGCAGCAAAGTACTCCACTGTGACCTCTTTTTTTTTTTTTTTTTTTTTTTTTTTTTTTTTTTTTTTTTTTTTTTTTTTTTTTTTGTTGTTGTTGTTGTTGCTGTTGTAGGAAAACGCATCTGTGCAGGAGAAGGTCTGGCCCGAATGGAGATATTCATATTTTTAACATCCATCCTGCAGAACTTTACTTTGAAGCCTGTTGTGGATCACAAAGACATTGACATTAGCCCAATAGTCACCAGTCTGGCAAATCTGCCCCGACACTATGAGGTCTCTTTTGTTCCACGTTAGGCAAGTGAAGAGTTTCCAGCTCTCAAACTCATGAGTGCTCTGGCAGTGAGCCAGACAGTCATTCCCCAATCTGTTGAGAATGAAACACTCAGACCATTTGGTAGATACTTTATGGAGAGAAGAGTGCTTAGAAAAGAAAATTGTATGGTGCCTTTATAATCACCACAGCCAGCTCTTAACAGAGTAGGCAATCACACAGGGAAGGACACAGTACCCTGTGCAAAATTACAGATTCTTCTCTGCACGTACCTCACCCAGCTGTGGTTCCTGTCTGGCTCCTGACATGCCAAGCTGTCTGCACTGGTTCTCCGAGAGCCCTGCTGCTGCTGCTGCTCCTATCACCTGAGGGGTTCCAGCAGGAATAGATGCTTGTACTACACGGTTTTTACAAACTCTGCTTGAAGTACCTCTCCGTACTTTCAGTTTGTTTGTAATCTGTTTGTAAAGGCAAACATAAAAGAAGAGGCTTTTTGTGTTAGATGATAATCTATAGAATTCTTTCCCCAATACTTACTGTCTACTGTGATGGGGATAGAATTTATCAGTGACTGGGCAGACAGGTTATCCTCTGTAATTACAATGAGGGTTTGTGAAATTACAGTTTATACTGCAAAATAAAGAAGTAGTATACTGAATTGTTGCTTTCCTGATATTCCAGAACATCTTTTAGTGAAAAACCAGTGTCCACAAAGCTCATACTCCAAAATCTCTTTCAAGTCCTGTACACATATGCCTGCTTCATTTCACTCATATGAAACGTACTATGGCTTGAAGAATGAGCTGGTTAATGATCTATAAATGTCCATTCCTAATTTTGGATAAAGCTGCACTGACCCCGTGGGACCCATTAGAACCCCAAATGTGGTTACAGAGCTGTTCACTGGGGAGAAAAAGGACAAATTAAGTAATACCAGGATCCCCCCAAGTACCTTTTCCTAGATGAATGCCAGCTTGCATCTTCCCAATATTTTATGAAGTACATAAAGATCATTACAGCAATGTTAAATCAGGAAAAAATTAATAAATAGAGTTTGTATGACTTGCCAAGCATATATGTACAGATCAATGGCTGGCATTTCCTGTCTTGAACACATTCCCATCAATGTATAATACATAGTGATTACAGTGAAGACAGAGAGCTGAATCTATATTATGTGGGAAAAGACAGAACTGTAAAATTACCACAATGCCATTAACTGTTTATGTGAAACAGACTGAACTTGCTTCCTTTAAAAGATTAATAAGCTAGATATACTATGCATTACTAGCATGGTATTGCAAAGGCAAAAAGCCACAAATTCCCCAGAATCACAGAAATAAATTCTCTCACAAGATAAAAAGAAGAAAGCACTGTACTTCCTCTTTAGCTGTGTCATGACTAAAATAGCCAAAACAAATGAGGGAGCAGCTTTCTTATTGCAGTTATCTTCCTTCATGCTGAGAAGCCAAGGAGGCAGCCAATGTAGATCAGCAAAACAACTTTAGCGCCTGGAGACTCCACCGTGGTATGAAGTGGGCTTTGGGATTAGAGCAGGGCTAAAGCCATGTGCCCTGATTCTGAACACTGCAGGTGTCTCCACAAAGTACTGCTCTGAAACTTGAATGACTTTGGAATAACCTGTTAGTGCAGCTGGGCAGAACCGTCTTAAGATGCTGGACAAGAAAAGAATTCTCCTCTGGAACTGAACTCTTCTGCTTCTTCTAAAAGAGCTGTTATTTGCTAGGCTGATTTTCATTCCCTGGTTTGCAGTTGCAGTCCACAACATCAAGAACTGCTTCAGCTCCAAAGTGGTTTGCAGACCATTCTGATGACACACTTTGCCCCTGGACTCTCATCCATCAGCCCTCCCTTTTCTGTTTTCCTCCTGTTCCTCCTTTTAAGAACACACTATTTTCTTACTCTATTTTCCACCAGAAAATGCTGCAAAGGAGAACTCTGAGATTTAACCTCCTTCTGTACCTCCTCTGGAATTTCTCAAGGATTCTCCAGGTGAAACATCTGAGCAGTAACCAAGTTGTGGCTTTGCTTTTGGACTGACTATACATTTCCCCAGTACAATGCTGTTCACACACACCTATGTCTCTTCCATGGTGCTGCTCTCCAAGGACATGCCATCCCTGACATGATGTGGATTCTACCAGTGACACAGAGGTCCCTCAGGCAGGGAGGGTAACAATTACTCAGAGACACAACTGGGAACATAGCTGTCAGCTCTTAGCCCCACTGGAATGCCACTGTCACACAGTCCTCCAGCCAGCCAGGAAGTCCACCTCTAATATTTCCTCTCAAAAAGAAAGTCCATTGTGGGACAAACCCCTTCTCTCATTTTTACTTCCTGGAGGTGGAATACTCAAGAGTTTGTGAAGGAACTCACTATTTCTTACCTTTTTTACCTGAAAACACTGAGCACTTGGTGACAGTGCATGGCTAGAAGGATTTCCATCTTCAGAGCTCCTGGAGGTTTTCATCCTTGTAGTTTTAAAATGGCACTGTATTTTGTATACACAGAAAAGCAACTTTTTCAAGAGGAACAGGACATAGTCCATCCTGTGCCTTTCCTGTGGGATCAGTGGTGTTCCCCGCTGGCATGGCGCCTCCCTGTATCACCCTGCGGTCCTGCCAGGTAACACTGTAAGCACAGAAATGCTATTTCTATTTCAAACCCAGGATTTTCAAAGTGATGATGAAGGCTCTCAAAAGTCATCTGCTTCATTCTTTTCAAAGAGCACTAGGGAAAAGTGTCTATCCTGACTAAATAGTGGCTGCACGCAGCCTGACAGCATGATGATCTTTATCACACTAGCATCTGACTAGACATTCTTTTGAAAACTCCAAGTTTGAACCACTTCCTTCCTACATACAGTACTTGTACTGCCTTCAACTACAACTCACTCAAAAGCCAGCTTGAATTACTTAACGTTAACAGGTACAGAAAAAATATCCTTGGAGTAAGATAAATAACTGTTCAGTACAAAGGGCTCTGCCAAATCAGCAATTTGGAACATTGTTAACCTAGTAGAGAAGTACATTTTTGTGGTAGGCATGCCACTTCAGAAACTACTAGGATCAAAATTCACTGGTGAAGTAGAGAAAGAGTCTGCTAAGTCAACTGAGCATGTGATAAAGTACTACGTCTTGAAACTTCACCAGAGGTCCAGACAGTCAAAGAATATAATTGCAAGAATACTTGATGCAGTTTCAAACATGGTCTCTTCTATCATCCCTAGTTGCTTGAACGAGTTTGTCTTTATCAACAGACCCCTTTGAAAAAAAAAAAACGGCCCATGTAATCTTTCCAAGAGAACTTGAGATTCCAGAGAAATATATTCAGCAAGTTTATTGTAAATTTGTAATTAGTCTCTCTATTTCAAACAGATAAAAGGGGACACCAAAATGAAGTGTTTTCAATACTCCACCCATTAAGTCCAAAGGTCCAGGTATCTTCCCAGCACAGAGCTCAATGAAGGAAAAATTGAAGTTTAGGTCCTGCTGCTACTAAGGGAAAATGTCTTTACAGATTACAGAACACTTTCCCTAGACTGAGTATTTCATGTGGAAAACAGGACTAACACACATATAGCCAATATCGACATGAGTTAAAGACAGGCTTCTATTTTTCACTGCAGAACTGAGGCAACAGTACCCCTTGAGAAGAGGAAAATATTATTCAGCCTTAAGCCTGAATACAGCCTACCAATAGCTGGAAAATGTCCCAGTCTCCATGTCAGCTGTAAACCAAATCCTTGTCAACAGAATTGCTATTGTGCAAAACCAGAGATCAGTCCGATGTGCTGCCCAACTCCAGCTTACAGACTATTGTAATTTCATCGTTTCTCCAGTTTTTTGTACTTGGCTTCTGCAGAAGGAAAAATACTATTTTAGTACTGGGTAGGTAAAAGCTTTGCATCCTGTAAGCTAACTTACTGTATCATTCACAATCCTTTTTTTCTACTGCATTTAGGCAGATATAATTGTATAACAATTTTTTTAAGAGCCTGGTGTTAAGTCAGACAACAATATTATTTTAAGCCAAGAGGGCTTGGGTGGCTGGTGGAAGATTATGAATCCCTCAATTTGCAAGGTTAAACATCAGTCTTTAAATTATAAGTCAATGCCTACCATAAAAAAGAAATCAAGCCTCACTAACAAGCAGTAGTTTAACAACACCTGTACTAGTCCACCGTAACATAACTCATTACGCGAATCTTTTCCCAATGCTTATCACTTCACACACAATGTTTGTGCTCAAAAGCAGCACAGGCAACTCTGCAGAGTTTGTCTGTTAAACAAAACAGCGTTTACTTTCCTTCTTTCTTTTTAAATCCTCTTGCAAGGCACTATGCTGCTAGGTCTTAATGGTGGAGGACGATAGTTACCAAGTTTTTTGGAATATGCATCCAATTTATAAGCTGCCTGCTCCAGAGCTGCGACCTGTTCCTCAATTAGGTCTATCTGTTCCAGATATGGCTGAAGATCAGCATCTTAAAAAAGCATAAAAATGTTATCTGTCAGTTCTCAGTAATGCACTTCAAAGAAACAGTTCACACTTGAAACACAAGAATTTATTACATTCTTCAGATAGGACAGTACAAAAGGTGCCCTCTCCCATCCCAAAATTAAGTGGTGACTCAGACAGCCATGTTCCAGGAAAATATTAAATGTTTAAGAGTACTGTCCAGTCTCTAACACAAGTAACAAGAGAACATGAATTAAAATGACATTAAAAAACATGAATTATTCCTATCAAATCCAGAGTCTGGGGTAAACCAGATAAACACAAATTCAGATGTATTTTCTCTTACAGTAGTCTACAGAGTCTAAAGCTGTTAAGAAATACACAAGACTGGCATTGCATAGCAGCACACCTATATCAGTGAGTTTTCTTTCCTTCAGCACTAATGGAGTGCTAATGGAACCTTCTGAATCTAAGATGCTTTATTTCCCAAACAAGTGCGCCAATCATGACACGCCTACCTTATTTGGTGTACTTACATTTTTGGTTTAAATCCTTCAGATTTCTACTGATGTTTATAGCAATATCTTTCATTTCTAAGTACTTCAAGCTAGTCAGCTTATTCATGTTTTCCAAGAGTTTGTAGTCTTCACTGGTAGCTTAAAAAAATATAAAGTATATTTTAATTAAAGGTGATGTGGTTTGAATTGTGTGAAGACTCTTCAAGAGGACAAGAGATTTCAAACCAACAGCCAAATGAAGCACAGCAGTTTAGATGGCAATACAGGTTATCAGCATACACTCTACAAAGAGATGACATTTTGTGAACTGCAAAAATCAACTGCACTGATGAATTTACTTCTAAACTTTTCTTGAAAAAAAAATTACTAAGTCCTCATATTTCTACTTTTAATTCTGTCAGTTAGACACTTAAGTTTACAAAACTGATAGCACAAATTCAGACTGGTAATTTGTACCATATATCCTTCAAGTCTGCAAATCAGGAGTGATTTCAAAATTAGAACCTATGCAATTAACTTGGTGAGCACTTTACTTTGCTCCAGTTAATTTTGCACATCAGTTTATTCTAAGGCATAAATGTTAGAAAACATGTATGATCCTTGCTCTCAAGAAAAGAAAGACTCCACTATCTGTGATGCCTCCCTCCTACTCTGTCTTAACCTGGACAACTTTTGTTAGATTGACTTTCCATGTACAAACTTCTTTGAGATGAAAAAGAATTATTTTTAAGCTGCTGATATCACACTGAATTGTTCTGAAAAACATTTGTGCTATTCTGGGACTTCATTAAATTAATATAACTAATCTCAGTGTTGTTAGCAGCCTAGCAATGTGCCAAATTTGGACAGCCAGTCTTACTAGACACAATCGAAATAGTTACAGTTTTAACAAACTATCCAACAGATTTCTTTGAAACAAAGTGAAAAGAAAGAAGAACTTGCAGGTCA